AAACAGCTTAGTTGGATAGTTCTGGCTCAGAGTCTGCTGAAGGTTGCATGCAGTCCAGCCGTCTGTCGAAGCTGCAGTCACCTGCAGGCTTGATTGGGTCTGGAGGGTCAGTTTCTAGTCTCCCTCAGACGGCTATTGGCAGAGGCATGAGTTCATTGTCATGTGTGCCTTTCCATAGAACTACTCACAACATGGCCACTGACTCCCCAGAGCCAGTGATCCAACAGAGAAAGCAAGTGTGACCAACACAGGAGCCACAGTGTCTTTCATAATTTAATAACTAACATGACATACCATAACTTCTCCCATATTCTCCTGGCTACACAGCCCAACCCGGACTCAGTGTGAGAGGAGGTTTCACAAGGACGTGACTACCAGGAGGCAGAGATCACAGGGGCCTATCCTAGATGCTGGCTACCACTGCCTCTCGTTATATAGTTTTCCTGAGCAGTGCCACAGACGCTCTTAATTTTTTTTTTTTTTGGCTTTAATTTTAGATTAGATCCAGGAGGCTTTGAAATGATTGTAGTGGTTTATAACCTACGAGCAAATGAAAGGCATCTAAGCATCAAGATAAATGTCTGAGTGGGGTCTGCTAGCCACTTGCAAAGCATGTGGCTCCACAGGCCTAAGAAATCCACAGCTGACTTGAGTAAAATCTCAACTATTAAATATCCCAGCTCTGCACTCTCACAAAGTGCAAAGGACAGACGTTGTCTCTCCATATTAACAAGTAAAAATGGTGAGCGGATAAGGCACGGTTTACAAATCTGTATTTATGATTGGGGTCTGGCTGAAAAACAGCAAGAATAAACCATACAATCTGGGAAGTCTAATTCTAGCAGGAAGTGCTTTGAAATAACATCATACTTCACTCACTCCCCAACCGATGTCTTTGATGACCAGTTTGGACACATCAATAAAACATCCTGTCACTTACTATATTTTATTTTCTTGCAGCATTTCCCACTGTTTGATGGTAACTCTCACAGTGTCTGTTCTTATAGCAGAGTCCTCACTCTGATTTAGACTTGCCAAGTAGATTGCTTTTGGCTACATTTCTTGCCCAAGCACAGGTCCTTCTGGTTTGAGAAGTCCCATTAAAAGACCTAAAGAAAAATATACAACCTTTACTGGCTTGGATTTTTAGCTCCAAAACTTAGAAGAAAGCGGCTGGTTAAGATTATAAACATTTTGAAGTACTTGTCTTTCAGAAAGGCAAAGAACAATGGCAAGAAAACCCCTTTAATGGCTCAGAATTTATTTTATTTTATGTACTTATTAATTGGTACACTTTCTCCCCTGTTTTTAACCAAAGATTCTGTACATTGAAACAATAAAATAAGTAAAGACATGTGTCTGCTTTAAAATCTTGATATTGGTTAAGTCTCCGTAGTCCTTTTTTATGCTTTCTGGGTAAAGGCTCTTTCTGTTCTCTCAGCCAGGCAGCACTTTGATCTCAAAAGTAGTGCCATTTTGTTGTAAATGTATGTGGCGCCTTTGATCTAGTACTTAGCTGGTCTTACTTAAAATAGATAGCTTCTTTTATCTAAGTAGTGTTTACCAGGTCTCTCTCTCTATGAAAAATGATTTAAATTGCTATTATTTAGATAGAAAGTTATATAAAGTTTCTAAAGCGTGCCCAGATCTGAATCTAATTCTCTGAATCCTAAAACCCCAGTGGCTCTATTATAGATTTTACAAAGCAAATTCCTATTAAAATGAGCTGCTCCTGTAGCTGTCAGGTACTGTTTGCAAAAACTTTGTTTGCTTTTTAATGAGGAACTGATTTTCCAAAGAATAATAAACATCTTACACTCAGGCAAAAATGGTACTCTCAGAAATTAATGGCCAATTGTTCCTCTGAAATTCAGATATTAATATATTTTTATATTCCTGGGTTATGCATACTATACAGATATATGGAAGTGGGGCTTTAAAAAATGATAAGTATATATCTTTATTTCTCTTTAAGAGGATTTCTTGGGCATTTTATCAGGTGCATTAGTGACTTGTGTTTGAATTTCCGAGGCTGCAGTCAGTTATTCATTAAACAAACTATATTGCAGATGCAGAGACACAAAGTTGACTAAGTCACAGACTCTGTCCTTAGATTGCTCACAGCCTAGGGTCTAGGGGCACAGCACTAGCAGACAATTACATGACAGTGTGGTGAGTGCCTGTCACAGACAGTGGTCCTCCCAGCCTGGCCCTGGGAGTGGTCAGGGAAGGCTTCCTGGATGAGGTGGTGCCTAAGCTTTGGTGAAATACTGATGACTCAGAACACAATGTCTCATGAATTCCCAGCCAAGTCCACAATGCAAAGCCAACCTATCTGCCCAGACACCACCCCTCCCCCAAGTTTAACACAAGTAGCCTACACCTTGGGAGAGGTCTAAACTTTGAATGGTTTTGCTGCTTTCTGAAGCTACCCCAAAGCCTTCTTGCTGGTCATTCAACACTCAGGAGAAAACTCCCAAACTACTTTCACATGCATTTGTAGACCTTTAGTTCAGTTCTTTATTTAATGGAGATATTGTAAATCTCTTTGTGTTATAAGTTAAAATAGCTGCTTTTAATTATTCTATTTTGTCCGAGTCCTGACACCTCCCCCCCCCCCACCGCCTCCCCATCTTCCTTGGTATCATGTTCCAACCATTTTAGATGTCTTGTCATTACTTCATTTGTGTACTAACTACGGGTGATCCTGGGAGTAGGTAGGTACTCTGGAGGATACGCAAGAAGAATATAAGTGTTCCTTCCCAGGCCCAGAAGTTTGGGAGAGGGGCAGGAAGAAGTAATCTCCAGTCAAGTGCAAGATTATTACAATAGTAGTCACAACTGGGAAAATCAGAGGGGGCAGGGCCTGACCTCAGGAGACTCATCCTGGGTTTGTGGAGAAGGAGAGGAGAAGCTGGCCTCACGAGGACACAAGAACATGAGTTTGGAGTGGTCCTTGGTCAGTGCAGGGATGGTCAGCGTTGGGTAGATGAGGTTGAGGCAGGGGTGGGCTGAGAGCAAACTGGAGGGGTTTGGCTTTTACCCAGTGGTGCCACCAAGCCACGCAGGCTGCAGAACTGCAAAATGAAGTGGAATCCTGTCAGTCACTTTCTTTCGCGTCAGTCACCAAGCAGTACTGGTTCTGAGAATCATGCATTTTAGATAGTAGAGGCCTTGAAGATCAAAGAGCCTCGCATCTCGATTTATCCAGTGAGGAAATAAGCCCAGTTCAGGCAGCCCAGGTCTCACAGTCGCTGAGTGGCAGAGCCAGGGGTGCTTGGCTTGACCAGAACCTGGGCCTGAGCTCCTCTTCCTGGGAGTCGTTTCCTGTTAGGAGTCTTAGATGGGGTGCAGGACCCTAAACAGTTCACAGGAGCTGTGGGACAGAGATGCCATCACACTCGGGGGTCCTCCAACAAAAATGGGCCCAGGGACAGTGGAGTTCTCATAGGGCTTCATCCCTGTCTCCGGATCCCCAGGGTCCACACCAAGCCAGAGTTTGAATAAGAGAAGTTGTCACTGATAAGAGACAAGACAGGATAGAAAAGAATCAGGATACACTGAGCAGCCCCGTGTGAGCCACAGGAAAGCCAAGCTAAGAGGATGGACAGCAGGGTCACATTTGGGAAAAACGGGTTTTGTTTTGTTTTTATGACTTACTAGTCATACGTTGCCTATGGCCCCTCACTTCAGGGAGGCCAAATGGAGCAAGACCCACTCAAAATGCGTGGACTGAGAGCCAGGTGGAAAGGGTGATCTTAAAGAAAATCAGGGAACTGTTATTAGAAGGAAGGCGAGGGATAAATGCTGGAAAAGCAAAAACAATATATATTTTTTTCTTTTAAATATTCTATTGGGGAATTGGGGGAGGGAACAACATTGGGGAATCAGGGAAGGGGAACAGACGAGTTGCTGTCCTTTTGTTCTTCAGTCTAGTTGTGGAGGACGACGCTTCACTGGCCCATGTTGGTATTATCATTGCGCTCTTCCCAGGTGAGGCAGATAGGTCACCGGCCACTGGACAGCTGCTCATGGCAGCTCACGCCAGCTGCTGGCTGCTCACACTGGCTGCCAGCCACTCACGGTAGCTCATGGCAGCCCACTGCAGCAGGGGCTACAGCCTACGCTGTCTCTGGCGACTCACAGCAGCCCAGCTCCAGGTTGAGCTGTTGTTCACTATATTAGCTGTAGAGGGCGCAGCATCACTGGCCCTCATGTGGGATCTGAACCAGGGCCCTGCTGCTCAGAGCTGGTGTCCCAAGCCAACTCTTAACCAACGTGCCACTCGGCCAGCCCCAAAAACAATATAGTTTGACAGCAACCCCCTCATCCTAACTTAGAGGTAAAAAAGTGTAAGACTAGAATGTTCTCATAGAGAGTTACCATGGGCAAAATATTCTCACTGCTTTATCTATATTAACTAATTGAGCCTATCCTCAAACCTATGACATAAGGACTCCTATTAATCCCGTCGACAAAGGAGGAAATTGAGTCACAGACACAGTAACTTGCCCAAGGTCTCTCAGCTAGTAAGTGTCAGAGCTGGGATCCAAAGCCAAGCAGTCTGACACCAGGACCTGTGCACTTGAATTACTGTGGTAAATGTACCTACCATTTTCCTTCCTTTTTTTTCCCCCTCTGAAATGAAGACATGAGGAAGGCCCTGATGATGAATGTAATCACCTCGCACACCACAGTCACCATTATTACTTTTGTTATTATTTATCAACAGACTACACAAAGCCTCTGGTGCACAGTAGACATTCAATGACTATGACATAAGACAAAGAGCATTTGAAGACCAACCAAGACCTTTGCATGGGATCGAGGCTGAAAGGAAATTGACATGATCTTCAGGGGGTTAGCAATGGGTATGAAAGAATAGGTACTGACAGTAAATATATGAATAGAAATGTCTAGAGACCCCTTGAGGTAGGCACAAAATGGTGAGATGCTATTATAAATCCTTTAGTGACTCCTTTGCTCCCTCCCTTCTCTAGTGCTGCTTAAGTAGAGCGGAGGCCAGACGGGATGCCGCCAAAGTGGCCCTAATCAACTCCCTCTTCAACGAGCTGCCCTCTCGCAGGATCACCAAGGAATTCATTATGGAGAGTGTGCAGGAAGCAGTTGCCTCCACCAGCGTGAGTGCCCACCAGGGAAGGGAGGAGCTGGCTGCACTGAGGACACTGAGGCATTTGGGTCTTGGGAGATGCTGAAGGGAACACATTCTTTAAGAATTGTGCAGGTTTCACTTTTGCTCATTAAATCATTAATTTTCAGCAAAAAGAACACTTGGATTGGAAATTACAAAATTGGAGCTGCTTTCCTGTACCTCATCTGAGTAGTATTCTTGAACTCCCCTGGATCACAATTTATCAAGCTTTGAATCAAGGCAGACAATTTGATCCACCTTAATTTGTTCATTTGAATGTTTACTGTTTGAGGAGCATTGATTCTTTTACGCCCTGAGAACACATGCAATTGAATACTGCTTTAATCTAGCGATAAACTAGCTTATTTTTTTTCCTAAACTTGACTAACCTTAAAAATTATCTGAAGTGCTTATTAAAAGTGCCAATTCCCCAGCCAGTGTGGGGTGCTGCAATCTGTATTT